ATTATCCATAATAATGCTTTCTCCAGTGAAAAAGTTGGCACGTCTGAATCAGGAGAGAAATATGCACAGAACAAGCACTGTTTACAAGTGAAAACAATGTGAGAGAACAACGGGATGGACATTTCACTGGAGGAAGCTACAGTTTAAAGTTAAAATGCCTTCATTATGGATTTGATTTGGAGTTATGTGGATTAGGCTATTTGTGGATTATTGTGGATCACTGTGAGGTTTTTATCAGCTGTTTGGACTCTCATTCTGACGGCACCCATTCATTCACTGCAGAGGATCCATTGGTGAGCAAGTGATGTAATGCTAAATTTCTCCAAATCTGTTCTGATGAAGAAACAAACTCATCTATGTTTTGGATGGCCAGAGGGTGGTTAAATTTTCAGCAATTTTTATTAAACTATTGTTTTTGTTGAACTAGGCTTTTGCTGTTAAATATATTTTAAATAAATAAATAAATGCATTAAATGTAAAATAAAGTCCTGCCACAACTTTTTCTTGTTAAACTTGGATTATGCAAGTAAAATGGCAAAATTGTAATTCGATGTATTACTCTGTTGTCTGGCAGTACATAAAAAAACTCGAGCTCTTTATGCTGCATTTTGTGAAAACCAGTATTTTCTCAGACTGTGGTGCCCTTCATGGACGTGCGAGGCTGTTCTATAACAGCCTGCATTATGAAACATGTGACTCATGCGAAGAGAGCGAAAACAGAAGGTGACGGTGGGGGTAAACCGGAGGAGGTGCTATAATTTGAAAAGGCAGTTGTTTATTGTTGAAGAGCATGTATTTATTTCATGGCACCGCAAATTGTGGCTAAGGGCAGAGCCGGGTCTCGGTGGGTAATTACAGAGCTTGAGGCAGCGCCCCACCACGGCAGTGTCTCTTAAGAGCCTGTGCCTTTCCTTCACACAAACACACACACACACCGAGTCAGTGAGGACTTGCCGTCTACATCCATTAGACACACTTGCTGAGGAACCATCATCATGCTGAAGTTGTCACCGGTGTTCTCAGCTAATGATGCTTCTGGGCTTTTGCACTGTATTATCTGTGTTATAGGGGAATTAGCATAAGTATGATACGTTTGGATGTACTCATCTGAATTTGTTTCCAGTGTTCTTTCTTTTGAATGAAAGGTTTAGTTGCTTGAAAATGCTTTACAGACAAATATACACTACTGTTCAAAAGTCTTGGATTTGTAAAATATGTATTTATTTATTTATTTATTTAAAGAATGCTCACCAAGGCTGCATTTATTTGATCAAAAATACACTAAAAACAGTAGTTTTGAAATATTTACAATTTAGAATAACAGTTTTCTACTAATACATTTTTAAGTATGATTTATTTCTGTGATGCAAAGGTACATTTTCAGCATCATTACTCCTGTCTTCCGTGTTGCCTTTTTTTTTTTTTTTTGAAAATCATGGTATATTTTTTAGATTCTTTAATGAATAGAAAAATAAAAAAGATCAGCATTTTTAATAGAAATATTTTGTTATTT